CATTAGCATCTTAATCCAATGTGAAATGAAAATATCAGCTTCTTATTGAATAAACTACTAATTGGTAAAGGTAGAAATGTGTGCTGATAGCATGCTATTGTAATCAAAACTAAAGTTCTGTAATTCAACCTCAGAAACTGAAAAATGACGTGAATTCCTTTTGGTGTTTTTTTGACATCGGTATCTCCAGGTTTTCTTCTGAGCGACCTGCATTGTTTTTCTACATCATTACTTGGTCAGCTGAGCACTTTGAGCTCATGTTAGAGTTAACAACCGTTTGTTTACATGCAGTGCCTTGCTGACCACCAGGGGGCCCCACAGTTTGAGCTCCACTGTGTTTAAAAAGAAAGCAGCCAGAAGCTGTTCTGCTTCGGATGAACTTAGTTTGCATCTTTGTTTATCTTTATTAAAAGGCTCAAAACGACTCGGGTAATAAGATGGAAATCCCGGCCAGCAGGCAGCAGCGTTACAGGGATTTGTGGGATGGTTTTTCCTCCTGCTTTACCTTGGGACCAATTATTATCCACGTCTGGTGGTCAAGCCACACTCTCCTCGCCGCCATTAAGCAGGATTTGTCCGAATCCTCCGAGTCGACTGCTAATTAGCAACCTGCTGGACTGAAAGCTGGTTTCCGTCCAACACCAGGCAGTACATTCAGGAACTTAACGAGGACAGTTTTTAAGGCCAAGACTTTGAGTTTTAGCACAACATGAACAAGTTGTTATTGAGTTAGACTGAAAGCAGTTTGCACAGAAGGAAAGGAGGTCATGGCGGGAAAATAACAGCTGCAGTCGATCTGGTTCAGAGGAAAACCTCCCAAAAATGGCTACATATTTTAAATGAATGCAGATTTATAAATAAAATGCTCCAGCTGAGACTAGCAGGAGTATTTTCAAACCTTTGAACTTGTTTACATTTGAAACCACAACCCTTTCTGTATTTCATTGGGATTTACATGAAAAAAACACACAACTGTGAAGACGAAGAAGCATAATTCATGGTTTTACAAACGAGGAATGCAAGATGTTCTGTAGGCGTTTTCCCACCTGACAGTCCAGTAAATTTGGTTCTACTGGACCCAGAACATCTGCTCCACCTGCAGCTGCTGTGGCTCTGAGTCAAACCAAGCTAGCTGCAGTTGGTTGAAGGTTTGTGGAGGTAAATCTTGAAGGAAACCACCCGACAGCCAGATGCTTCACATCAAATCACACTGACAGATGAGTGGCCTAGTCAAAGTCCAGACCTAAAACCAGAAGATCTGAAAATTGATTGCAGAGGCTTGCATCCGGATCTGGTTCTAGAAAGTTCTGAACCAGAAGAAGGTGGAAGTAAATGTAGCCCACACTTTTCAGATTTTACTTTGACAGCACCGCCGTCGCTCCATCTGGCGGCGTCTCCAAACGTTCATCGTGTTTTCCGGCTCCGTTTCATCCTGTAAGCGAGGAAGCTTCCACTCCTCGGTTCTGGTTCTGTTCTGCTCGGTCTTATCTCCTGTCTGGGTTTCTCTGAGCCTTCAGAGTTTCTAATTAATTCACAGTTTACGCTCCGTTCTGGGCACAGAGGCTCCAACACGCCAACAGACTGCTAATTGAATTTTTAAGCCTCTCTTGTTAATTAGCATTTTGCCTTGTAATGTGTGTGACGTGAATGTCATTTAGGAACAACTAATTTGTGTTTAAGCACGCCTGTGTGTGTGTGTGTGTGTGCCTGTGTGTGTGTATGTGTGTGTGTGTGTGTGTGCCTGTGTGTATGTGTGTGTGTGTGTGTGTGCGTCTGTGTGTGTCTGTGTGTGTGTGTGTGTGTGTGTGTGTGTGTGTGTGTGTGTGTGTGTGTGTGCCTGTGTGTGTGTGTGTGTGCCTGTGTGTGTGTGTGTGTGTGTGCCTGTGTGTGTGTGTGTGTGTGCCTGTGTGTATGTGTGTGTGTGTGTGTGTGCCTGTGTGTGTGTGTGTGCGCCTGTGTGCGCCTGTGTGTGCCTGTGTGTGTGTGTGTGTGTGTGTGTGTGTGCCTGTGTGTGTGTGTTTGAACATTTTACATGCTTTCTGAGGCTCATTTACAGAAACTGTGGCCTCGCCTGCAGTGTTTTTTTTTAATGAGACCAGTCACACAAACACACTTTGAAATCAAAACTAAAGTTATTATTTTTAAAATCTTCTAACAGCTTTAAGCTTTAGTTATTAAACAGCTTCTGATCACGACACAGCTTCACCTGCAGCCTTGAAACGTTTCTTCTTCTGTGGTTTTGCTCCACAGGCCGTTAGCCAGCCATGTTTAATTGAAGCGTCGCTCCAGAGAGCGAACATACAAGCAGCAGATGAATCAGACTGGGTCGGGTCCAAATGTTTGTTCTGATGGGAAGCCGAGCAGCAAACGGCATCATCTTTACTCCTAATGTCAGATAATAAGCCGAGTAAATATTAAAAGTCTTTCTGGGTTTAGAGCATGAACAGCTTCTCTCTGGGTAAAAACATGACTGATGGAAAAGTCTGCAGCTCCAGAGGCCACGCCCCCTAAAAGATGTGAAAAGTTCTACTAAAGTAGGCGGAGTCAACACAAGGGGGCGTGGCCTAGTGTGGCTGCGACTAAATTTAGCAAGTTCAGTTTTAAGAAAGCAACAAGCGACAAATCTCCCAAATTTTTTCGGTGTTGTTGGAAACTTTTATGGATCACTTTGAGGGTTTCTGCAGGTTTCAGCTACTCGCATTTAAGACTTTTTCAGTCCATCATGAAACAAATGTACTAAACAAAATCACATATTTTACGTCGCAGAGCCAAGTTATCGTGTGGATTTGCAACAGAAGTGATCCAGTGGCGAAGACGAACGTCGTCCAGCTAACTGGTGATAAGTTACATTTACCAATGAGACTAGAAGAACGAAAAGGGTTTATTAGCCGCCAGTTAGCATTAGCCTCAACCGCCTCAATGAAATCAAGATGTCTGCAAGCGGCTCAAACTTTTACCTGACAGAAAAGAGCCACAAGATTACAAGATATAACGTTAAATAGTCCTGCCACGACAAAATTTAAGACATAAAACTGAAATATTTAAGGCCAGCTCACATTTTTAAAATGAATTCAAGGCATTTAAAAGTCTTTACAGTAAATTTAAGACTTTTTAAGCTCTGCGTCATCAACCGCCTGCAGTCAGGTCCAGTCCGCTCCGTGTTCACATCGCTAATCAATCACACTGAGAAATGCTACAATGCTAGCAACGCTAACTGGTCCACCTCCTGACTCACCACCAGGGGGCGTGGCTGAGTGCGATGGCTCTACAGCCCAACCTAAACATCAACTTCTGGAAAATCAAACTGCAGTACCACTGTTCAACACAAAGAGGGCAGCACTGAGAGGGTTTTAGGACAAATACGGCTGAATTAAACAGATTTACAGGAAAACGTCACAATTTGAACCAAAACATAAAGACAGAAACCATAAGAACCGACTTCTGCTCAACTGCAGAAATGAAAACGTAGATTTGGGATTTATTTACTCTTTGACCTCAGTCGACCTCTTGACCATTTTCTGAGCAACTTTCACCAACAAGCAGTAAGAAAGCTCAGCAATATCAACATTTTCAACCTTCGTTTCTACAAATCACATTTTTCTAACTTCCTGTCTTGTGGCAGCTAATCGAAGCAGAACGACTGAGAAAAGAAAAGAAAGGTCCCTCTGTTGTCCGTCAGTCAGAATCCCAGTGTCTTCCTAAATCCAGGAGATTATCTCCGCCTCAGCGTGGAGACAGGAGGATGTACAGCGGAAGATTAGAGGAACATCACAGATTATATTAAAATACGCGCTGTAATAACGTAACGCTTCGAAATCTAATTTTCCAGGATTACTGTCCGCCTCGTCTGCTGCTCAGACAGGCTCTGCGTCGGAAAACATTCCTGCTGGAAATAAACGGATTGATGTGAACCTGCAGAGGTAAAAAGTTTGGGGATTACTCCTCACACCTGCTCCAGATGTTCACTAACGATAGCCGAACCAGAGATGCTCTTAAGCCGCCGCCTCTGTCTGTTAATGCGCTGCATAAACGGTATTGATCTGAAGCCACAGAGCACTTTGTAAATTACATTACAGGTGAGTTACTTCAGCTCTATTAAATGAATATGAGCGGAGAAGCAGAGCGAGGATGTTAAGCAGCAGAACTACCAAGGGCGGGTCAAGGTGTGGCGAGGATCTACGGAAACATCCGGAGGAGTTTAAACCTTCAGCTGTCCAGCAGGGAACGCAATGCTTCCGCCAAAACTGGAACCAGAAGCACCGCTTAGCACAGACACTCCCATAGGGTGGATAGTTTTAACAAAGAAAAGAAGCTCTGGCCACTAGAATATTCAAAATGGTGGAAATTTGTCAAGATGGCCGCCATTGTCAAAGAAAATTGTTTTTTGCACTAAAATCTGCAATTAGTTAAAATGTTGGTGTCAATGGAGACCATAGAAATTACATATAATTTTCCTTTTTCTAGAAGACATTTTTCAAAATGGCTGCTGTGGCAGCTATTTTGAAATAGGCAGCAGCTAAGTCCAGTGTTGTGGACAGCTAACAAAAGGCAGGTTCACTAATTCACTACACAAGAATCTTAGCGCTGCTAACACTAAAATGCTAACTACAAAAAATTAACTAACATTTAACAGCTAAACATAAAAAAATTAACAGAAGCTAACACTAAACTTAAACGTCTCAAAAATTAGGGAAAGCTAACGCTAAACATAATAAAGTTAGCAGAAGCTAATGCTAACCATTTAGAGACATTGTGTCCCTCCGGCTGACGACTGGTGTGAAACTCCCTGACAGCAAACTCCTCAGTTTCTGGTTTTGCTACATATGATGTCATAAAATTTGTCCAAATCATAGAAATGGTGAAAATTTTACAGCAATAATTGGCTTTAAAAAGTAAAAAAAGGTTAACCTTAAAGGTTAGCATGTTGCTACAGCAACATGCTGCAGTCAGACCGTCTCATCAGACTAATAGCGATTAAAAATGGCGGCGCGTTTTCTCACCGGCCACTGTGACCTTGGCCGTCCGGCTGACGATGCTCCCCAGTCCGTCCAGCGTGGCGAGGCATTGGTACTCCCCTTCGTCGGGCCGGTGGTGCCGGGAGTGCACCACGTTCTGCACCGTCAGCGTGCCGTTGTCCAGCTGCCGGCGCCGCTCGTCCACCACCGCGCTCAGCAGGACGCCGTCTTTACGCCACGTGATGGAGACGGGGCCCGCCGCCGCCGAGCCCGCCTGGGCCTGGCAGTCCAGCCGCAGCGCCCCGCCCCGCACCGTTACCGTGTCCTGGGGCTCCACGGTGAAGGCCAGGTCCACAAAGCCGGGGCTGGGCGAGGAGGAAGACGATGGAGCGTCGGAGGCTGGAGGAGAGGAAGAGGAGTCGGTCATTTCATCCAGAGACGATCTGACCAATAAAACCACTGACCGCTGGGAGCCATGTTGTTTCCAACATCACAGCCAAACAAACCCAAACCCATGCAGACCAGCCTGTAAACAAACACCAAGAAGCAGAGAAAGGAACCATACTTTGACTAGACTGTTCCTCCAATCAGCCGAAACGAGCAGAAACAAGAACTCAGTAATTATTATTAATGTTCTGGAAATGATTAAGCAAAAAATGTTTATGTGTTAAATTAGTTTGGAGGACAAAAACAACAGAAGCTAAGGCTAAAAAGCTAAAACAACTCTGTACTTAGTGGAAGCTAATGCTAAAGGGCTAACAACAATTCAATTATATCTGCCTTTGAAAAACTACAAAAATCAAGCACCAAATTAATTCTGAATTAGTTTTCATGTTCGCTGAGACCATTAGATATTAGATTTATATCCGTGTTTTATTTACTTCCTGTGTTTCTCATTTAAATAAAGTTATTGGGGAAAAAAGAGGGAATGTGAGAAGAAACTGAACTGCTGCGTAAACTTTCTATTGACCCTTCAAAATAAGAGCATTTGAAAAGTTCTCTGCAATCAACCAAAACTTTAACACGGATGGCTTTAACTTTATTCAACTGAAAGTTTACAAAACAGCCAAAAAATTTAATTTAGGGGAAGCTAAGAATGCTAAATGTTTTCAAAGATAGAAAGTATGCTAAACTGAAAATTAGCTCTNCTATTAGCGCGTTAGCAGACGTGTGCCATCTCTGGNCCATGACCTTTGACCGTCTTCTAGGTGCTACAGTAATTTACTCCAACAGAACCAGAACCGTCTATCTTTTAAACGTTACTTCCTGCTCCGTCTGGACTCTTCGGTTCGCTGGAGGCCAGCCGACGCGCGGCAGGCCGCAGATCAACATAAATGATGTAATTATTGGACTTCTGAAGGCCAACCGGTCCGGTCTGATCCGGTCCGACCGGCGCTGGTACCGCTAAATATTTCCTCACATTCGTTCTGCCTTTAATGTTTGGAGGCTTTGAAGTAAAAACTCTGCAGGTTTGTTGTTTTTAAACAGAATCCTTCATTTTTCCGGTTCTGCCGAGTTTCACTCCGGCATCCCGACCCAGACGCTCCGCAGGTCCGTAACTCGTCGTTCCTCTCAGATTGGGGCCTCCTGAGCCTTTCCTTTGTTTCATGATGTGTTTTTGTCGCTTAACGCCGAGTGAAGCGGCGGCGGCGCCGCAGCCTTTGATGTCGTCGCTGCTAAAAGGCCTTTCATCGTGATCAGAGAGCCGGTTTGTTGAGTCAAAGCCGGCGCTCAGCGTCGGCGGCGTTCCCTGGAAAGGCTGAGAGGAGGAAGGGAACGACCGCATCACGACCCCATCTTTAAAGATGGAGGGAGGGGAGGGAACAGGTCCCGTCTGCTGGATCCACCTTTGACCCCTAATCAGCAGCAACCTTTGACCCCCTTTAAACATAAACTTCACAATGTTTTTTATTTACTACTCAATAATTATTACATTTATTTAGCATAAATGCTAACTCACTGTCTGATTTTATGTGGAGTTCTGTCACGGAAAATTAAATATTACGACTTTATCACATAATCCTCTTGATTGTAAGAAAAAATGTAATATTAATAATATTAATCACATCAACTTTAATTCTATTACCACAGTTCTTAAAGTTTTTTGCATGCTGGACTAAGCTAGCTAAAGCAGCCAATCAGAGCGCCCCCTGGCGGCCAGTAGGTGTGTAACAGGTTTCTGTGTCTGCAGAGATAAACAGTCGAGCGCTTAGCGCCGCGCAGCAGGACCATCAGACTGAAAACAGGAAAACAGAGCAAATATCCACCAAAACGTTTATAGAAAAAACAGGAAACCTCTGAGTTTCAAAAGGTAAAAATTAGCAAGAAATAAGCTCAGAAATTTTTAGATTAATTTGGTATTTTATTTTAAAAAAGGTAGAAAATTTACAACAAAAAAAATCTAAGAAAATTTCAAGAATCTTTTTTTGGAAATTTCTGAGTTTGGAAAGTTAAAAATCTTTAAGTTTTGAAAATTTTCTAAAATCCAAAACTTTTGTTCCAACATTTTTCTATTAAATTTTCAAATTTCTAAAACTCTGAAATGTTCTCTTTTTTCCAGATAATTTCTCAGATTAATCTAAAAATTAGCAAATTTTGAAACTCAGAAATTTCCTCATTTTTTGTAGGAATTTTCTTTAATTTTTTGCTGTAAATGTATTAATTGTTTTGGCCCTAATAGGCTGCCATATGCAGATAGTAAAGCAGCTAAAGTGGAATATTTTCCATGTTTTGAAACGCTGATTGTGAGTTTGAGCAGCGGGTTTTTTATTTTGCAAGGCATTATGGGAGAACTCAGGAGAACAATATTAAACAGCAGGTCTGTAGGTTCAGAGCGCCGCTATAAATCACCTCGGCGTCCAATCAGGTGTCCCTCCTTCACTCTTCATCCCTCCTTCCTCTCTCCTCTTCCTCCTCTCTTTTCCTTCATGGTTTCCTCCTTATTGATCCCCCCTCCCTCTCTATCAGTAAATCACTTTCCTGACAGCTCAATCTGTATTCACTTCCACCGCTCACACACACACACACACACACACACACACACACACACAGTTGGGCAGCATGCCCTTGTACTCTTCGTCCTGCAGTTTGATGCTATCACTCTCTGTCGCCGTTTCTTCATATTTCATCTGAAACATTGAGCTGCTCTTCACTTCATGTTTGAAGACAAATCTTTTCTGTTACTGCTTTGGTTTTATTTTTTATTTTTTTGCAGCCCTTCTGAATATTTTAGGGACTTTAGGGGAAAAAAGCAGAATGATTTTCTGGAAAATGTCTGGTTTAGCTGCTCGGTTCCTGGATTTCTGAGGGAGTTTTCACATTTTCTGGTTCAGCCGTCTTTTAAAGACGAGAAATTTGTGGAAAAGTTTAATATTTTTTTGTCCCACATTCCTGAAAGGAACCTAATATTATATGGATCAAGCCTTTAGTTATTGTAATATTGATGAATATGACTCACAGAGAATGAAAACCGTCTCAGAAAATATACATATCATGACAAAGCATTCTTAGAAAATTGAGTGGAAGGAAAAAGTGCACCAGCTGAAGCTGAATCAAGAGTCAACAAGGCAGATTAGATATTAGCTTCAGTTTTAGCAATAAAACAGTTTCCACTGTGTGTATTAATGCATATTTACATATATTTGCTGTTTGAATTTATTAACATATGGAGCTATGAGCCTTTTTAGAGGAAATCTAAAGAATTCACAGGCGGCTATTATTTAGCTTCCTAACAGCTCTGAAACTAAACAATGTTTAAATTAATACTAAATATTTACCCTGAAGCTAAATGTTTATCTTTAAGCTAAATGTTTACCCTGAAGCTAAATGTTTATCTTTAAGCTAAATGTTTACCCTGAAGCTAAATGTTTATCTTTAAGCTAAATGTTTACCCTGAAGC